CTCACACTCACACATTGATATCTTATACACTCACACTCACACATTGATATCTTATACACTCATACGCACACATTGATATTCTTATACACTCACACACAAACTTTGATATTCTTATACACTCACGCGCACACATTGATATTCGCATACACTCACACGGACTCATTGATATTCCTAAAGAAGAAGCAAGAGAAAACTGAAAGCATCATTGAAATTTATGGATGTAATTCTCTTATCTAAAATTAGAAGAAAAAATATTATGAAGTTCGTCTGCTTTCTTAAATGGCGGGATTTTAATCTCTAATTGAAGGGAAAACGAAAAACTTTTGAGACTCATCACAATTGGTCGATCATTTTCTTTAAATGTTGACTTTACTTTTTTCTAAAAGTAAAGGTCAATGGTGTGCGTTAAAAATCTCGATTTCTTCAGCACAATGTTTAATAATTTATATTGTACTAACGACAATAAAAAAAATGTCAGTACGTCACAATCAATTTGAACATGCAAAATGGTCTTAACGCTTGTCATTTAGAGCGTTTTGGGGGCGTTCCGTAGCGACCTATAGAAACGGTGAACAAAGTTATAAATATGCATTAGCAAAATCTTAACAAATAAAAATGTACTTCTCTTTTTATCTTATTCTGTTTCCTCAAAATTTCGTAGACTTTTTTAATAGGTGGCACTTGAACACATCCTTTCATTTCACATGTTAATGAAATCTATGACATACATACATATTCTGGAAGGTTAAATATCAGCGTGTCTTTCTATATGATTCGGGCTTAGAATGTGAATTTTAAATGTTTTACGCTAAAAGTGAAAATACGATGCATTTTCATTCATTTGATGCTCTTTTGTCTCCGAAAAGGGAAAAACGACATTGTATAAATAGTAAAACAGATATATGTCATTGGTGGAGATGGTGCCATAGCTAGTTTTAGAAATGGACGTTTTGATCTGAAATATCAAGAATGATTATGTAGGCCTGCACTCGTTGATAATGACAAAATTCAAATGTCGATTAAAAATTATCCAGGTCACCTGACAACGCAGTGTTAGTCCACATTTCTCGAATGCGAATTGTAAATTATTTGGATACATTAATCGTTACGATGTTTGGGTACCCCATGATTTAATGGGAAAATAATAAACAAACTGCATTATCATCTGGTATTCGCTGCTTAAATGCAACAGCAAACGACTTTTAAAAAGAACGATCACATGCCATAAAAAATGGATCGTTTGCAACAATGTGAAGCGAAACATATCCTGGAGAAAACGGAATGAACTACCGTTAACGACTCCGAAACACATCTACATTCGAAGGAAATGATGCTGTTTGGGGAGATTATAAGCGCATTTTTTATCACAAGCTCTTTCACCAAATATAGACGTTGAATTCAAACTGCTACTGTTTCCAACTAGACCGATTAAAGGCAACAATCTATGAAAAGCGCCTGGAATTTGCTAGTCGGAAATGTGTCGTTTTCAATCGGGTTTTTGCAGGTCCCACATCACATTGCAAGCTTGTCTGATATGTCCTACTACACCCGCCGTACTCATCTGTCCTTGTAACTTCGGATTACCGTTTATTTTGATCCCTACACATTTTCTTAATGGGAGGAATTTCAGTTTTTTGTCAGCCTATAATAAACCTTTAGATCAATTCTTCACACAGAAAGATATCAAATTCTGGGATGTTACCTCGATACGTGGTTGAATAAATCTGTGTACACATATAGAAATATTGAACCAACTTCACTTAAAAATTGCTATGAAATTTTGTTTCGATACTATATTTATATCCCATCTTTTAAATAAAACCTATGCATTAAATTAAGTTCAGAATGTTATCCAAGCCAGTTTTCTGACGTCATTCTTTGTTAATATAAACATATTTCATATATACACACATATAATAACTGTAAATCATTGTCATTTAATAAAGTGGTTTTTGAATTATATGAAATGTATGTGCAGTGATCCAATTTGAAGAAATTACAAGATGTTAAAGTGCAATAGAATACATTCATTTGATGCTCTTTGGTTGCCTGGTTATTTCGGTTTTTGATTTCAACATCTCTTATTTTTATTTTGTTTCAAGTTTTATGCAATTGATTGACAATTGTATATGGAAATTACAGCCGCAGGATTCAGATACAAAACGTGTTTTATTCTAAGATATTTCGCTTTCATTTCGATTTCAAGGTTTCGAGGTTACAAATTAACAAGATGCGAAACAAAAGTCACAAAAATCAGGATTTTTTTATATTGCCACAAGAGAATTTGTAGTCAACAAACGGTATTTCCCTACGGAGAATTCGACGGAATTAAAATTTTATCATCAGCTGAAAAGAATATATGTTATGCTCTTTTTGTGACGAGTCCCTTCACATACAACCTTGACATTTAAGCTTGGTTCTAAAATTTGTAATACACCAGAATATTTACTGTTCAATGTCTCTAGGCGAAAAGATTTAGGGGCCTCTTCTTGATGACTGCTGACTCCTCAGCATATCATACAGAGTGAAGACGCAGTGAAGAGAATCATCAAAGTTCCGACTTTTCGGTTAAATAGAAAGTGGGTCACGGATGTTATCTGAGGAAAAAAAAAGAGAAATGTTACGGAGGCCTTGAAGAACTATTAAATTTGTTTCATGATCAGACAAGACATGTGAACGTCTTGAAATACTGCGTTTAAACTAAAGTAATTGTGCCTGAGGCAAGTTGCATAAGATTTCTTGAAGAGTTAATAATAATAATAATAATAATAATAATAATAATAATAATTAAGAGAAGAGCGCGATTTAAGAAAAGAAAAAGTGTTTGACAATGTTAAACAATATTTCGATATATCTGTCCTCTTTAAGTTATTTTTTAATTTTCTAGTATGCAAATATATAGATCTACAAAAGATTATAAGTCTTGTACTGAAATAACAGATGTAGTGGTAATCAATGTGTCAAAATGAATGAAATGCCGTCAGCCTGAAGGCATGCAACTGAAACGTGCGTAATATAATGGTGATCATGCTCATCTTGGAATTTTCTGTTCATTGATTAGTTACTTACTAAATTGATCAAAGAACTTAGTATAAATCTTATGGAACTCTCCTGTCATTTTGTTCATTCCGTTTGGGCAGGAAATTAGTAATTTGCATATGTAACTATCCTCATCCGTTTTGAAGGTCGAAAGGTCTGTAAATTCTGAATATTTTTTCCAAATGTGCAATTTAAGACACTTATCGAAATTACTGTCTTTTGTAATAAATTGTTCCGCAACCTTCGTTGTTGTCTAACATCATACGTGTAGCCATTGAATTTTTTGTTTAATTTTTCCGCTGTGCAACCCACATAAATCATGTGATGTGTGGTACATTGGGCGGCGTATATTAAATGGGAATCAGTATATTTGCCATCCTCTGTAGAAATCGTGATGTTTCTCAATGAACATGGTTTTCTCCTTCTATGAGTTTTTTCGAGAGTACAATGATCCTAAACTCTAATGTGGCTATGAGTGCGGACGTTTGTTAAAATTAATAATAACAATAATGAGTGAGAGTGCAACACACTAACAAAATGATGCTGGTTTGCAAATATACAAAAACCAATATGCACATCGTCTATGCTAAACGTGCGCGATATAGTGACATGTTTTGAGAAAAGTACTGCATAGCCTTGCAGGGGGGACACAGTTATAAATACATTCATTTTACGTAACCCAATCCACTCAGAAAGACACCGATCATGGTTGTTTCCAAGTATTTAGACGTAACTCGTAAGTCATCTTGTTTGCTTCATTCTTCAAGCTTTAAAATCTAATCAACCGTTCGCAGTTGTCTTGTAAATGCTGTCCTGACTGTCACTTTCATGTTCTCTAAATTTTCTTCTGTCTGAAATTTGTCTTTTTAATTTCTTTCAGATTTACTCTGTGATCTGCCGGAGAAGCAAAATCCATCTGGGATGTTTACTCGTTATGTTTACAAACTCCCAGTTCCGGTCCAGATTAGGTGATCCGTTTTAATATTAAAATCCTTGAAGATTATAAATTTAATTCTTTAGGAAAGATTTCGTTTCAATTTGATTGTTTAACACACAGTCGCTTGCACAGTTCCCAGCGTTACGCCTTACCACCCAATCATGCCTACTTTACAGGAACAACTTACTGCATTTCCTTATTTAGTTCCCTTCTTTCAAAGACAATATATATTGCTGCGGTTTATCTATCTCTGCTTTCATTTGATGTGTTTTCGGGTCTCTTTTAAAATAGTGTCAGTGTTAAGGTATCCACTTTGTAGCCATGTCCATGTCGATTTATATTTCAAGCAAAACAAGAGCGAGAGAGAATAAATAGAAAAAGCAAAAGAGGACAATAATATCATTAGATTGAGTGAATATTCTGAGAGAAAGTGTAGAAATGAAAAAAAAGATAAGAGAAATAAGGGACACAAGGATAAATGAAAGAAATAAAACTACATATACATAGAAGCACAATTCACGATTCATGCCTGTTGCATGTTTTTACAACGCTGATTTGGATCTGTTAACATAATTCCACGTGAAATCCTCAAAATAAAAAAACAAACAAACAATGTCTTAACGTTTTGCATGGTTACACACAAGATAAGACGAGAAATTGACAAGATGGCCTCCTAGTGGAAAAATTGTAATGATCCGGGAATAGGGAATTTCACAAGCTTTCATTCGATTTATCTCCCTTGGTCGCCAGGAAATGTCATTAGTAATTCGATAGGTAGCAAGCCCATTCCACCGTATCTTTTTTTCCCGTTTGTGTTATTAGCGTTGCGTCTCTAAAGGAGTAAGATTATCCCCCGGAATACAACTGGAAAACGACAGCGAATCAACATTTTCATAATTATTTACAGTTCATGCCTTGGGTTTATTTCCCAAATTTGTTTTTCTACATATGTTAGGTCTATTCTTTTTCTTCTTACAAAATAGTAACAAGCAAAGGCGGTTTAGTATTGATAAAGGTGAGATTGTTAGAGGTAAATTAACGAAGAAAGAAAAATAATCTTGAAATGAAATCGCGTGGGGAAAAAAAAAACAACAACAACTTCGAAATGGACGAGAATGAAAAAAAGAGAAAGACGATGCGGAAAAAAAGAAGTTCCGTGGAGGCTAAACTAAATAAAAATAAAACAAAAAGTAATATATTCGTTGAAAATAAATAAGAAGGAAATAGAAGAAAAGAAAAACTGTAGAAGAGATAAAAGAATTAATAGGAAAAATATAAAACGGAAAAAATATAAAGAAAGTAAGACGGAAAAAATAAAGAATAGATTAAAGGAAAAAAGAAAGTGTCATGGGTCCTTACCTATAACTACAGAATTAACTCTTGCTAACACTACGCTTCTCAAGAGAGAGGGATGAATTGATTCGAGCCGATAGTAGCTCACTCCAAACCAGACTGACAGTCATAGTAACACCTTCCACATCTTGTATTATTATTTCGTGTAATATACCTTCGTTATTTCTACTCTTGTGTTCGTGTTGTTCTTCCTTGGTCCTAACCTGGACCATAACAGAAAGGAAACGAATTAACTAAACAAGAACGGACAGTGACATGTGAATGAAAAGAATAATAATTGAAGAATTGCACAGGAAATAAAAAGGCAAATAAATATAAACAAAAAAAAAAGATAAAGAATTATTAAAGAAAAATGGAAACAGAAAATATAATGAAAGCTTCATGACAGAAAGAGCAAATGGAAGCCTTGATAGCACCAAAATCTCGATAAGAGGAATGGCGACGTTGATAATGAGAGAATTAAGAATGTTAAACACAAATGGAATGGTGCTGAAACAGAATAAAATTTACTTAGAAAGGTCATCAACTTATGTCTTCTTGGCTTTGAGGGATGCCATTTACTAAAGCACATCAACCATATCTTCTTGACAGTATATTTGAAATATTTTACACTTACAAATGATGGGATTTAAAACCAATAGAGCAATATTGAACTGTTTCTGAAATATAGACAAATGTGTGATTCGGAATTACTTGATCATTTCTGTATATCCACACGATAGATAGATAGATAGATAGATAGATAGATAGATAGATAGATAGATAGATAGATAGATCCTTTCCCGTGAGTTTAATTATCTATGTCCCAAAAGATAGCATGAGGAAGGTTCGGTTTTATTTAATATCATTCTTCAAAAATCGCTTTGTATAATGTGACAGCTAAGTGTTTAATGTCAGAAGAGGTACCATTTTGTTTATTGAAACAAGAAGAAATATTAACAGTGTTACTTTGATTTTAGAATTTGAGATATAATATACAGTAGAAAACTGCTTTGTTTTTAATAAAGAAAATTGCTGAAAACTTTTGCACATGCTTAATGTTATTCTCCACATAGTTCTTTTTCCTTTACGAAAGATAAAACTTGAGATTCAATGATTGGCATGTGTTTACGAAAAGCGTATCTAACATGTTAAGATGGTTTAAGAAGTTTCGTGCTCGGGATTTCTCTCTAAACGCAAGTAAAATGAATCAGTACATATTTTAAAGGCAATATTATGTTTCACAAGCAATCTTACATTTCCCTTTTTTTCCTTTTTCTCTTTCTCATGCATCTTTACAAGTGAATATTGTATATACATGTCTGGTCCTATGTCTTCTCTGTCCCAATATTCGACCAAAGTTTTGAAAGTTTCTCACACCAACATCGATTCCATTGCACGTTCTTCCTAAACGCTTACATCGTCAGCTTTTATCCAAAGAGATGCGTGCAATGAATGAAGACAAGTAGTTACGAGTTTCGAATCCCAGGTGATGCGGCTCGACTATGATAAAAACACAATCAGTAATTTGGAGCACGATTTTGTGATGGTACTTCTGTCGCGACTCCTCGGATCTAAGCGAGATTTTATGAACCAGACTTGAATCAAATATCGGAATTTTCGGATGTAGCTGCCTGCCAACAATGTTATAATCCTGATTTACAATTATAAGTATGAGATTATTAGATGGAATTTGCTCAAAATAGGTTTCAAATGTTATGAATGTCGAAACATTTAACTGAAATTCTTAAATGAGGCACACTCTTGCTTCACACTACCATTCTCATCTTTAGTCTTTTCATCACTATGTTTCGGACAAGGTGGCTTCCACATATACAAAGCAAAACTACAGTAAACAAGATAAAAGAAAACATATCACAAAGAATGTCACAAAAATGATAAAAAAATGAATAATAAAGAAAACAAAATTGATTACGAATCAAAAATATGTAGTATATTGAGAACATTAACTAAAGTTTTACACTATTTACATTGTTCAGACTATTCTCCTCATTTTTATTCTTATATTCAAGATGTTTTGGCCATGATACGCTCCGGCCTTCTTCAGGTGATATACGTTGGAATTTCAAACCGAATTGAGCGTACAATTGCCGGATTTTCGTGAATATGACAATAAAGATGATAACAACAACCTGAACAATGTAAATAGAGTAAAAATTTACAAAACCTCATCTCAGAAATATAGACAGATATTGACTAAAGACATGGAAGTAATCAATGTACTGCTTTTAAGTAAATATCACAATTGCGAAATGAACAAGTAATGAAATAAAGTAAAGAAAGTCACAACCTTAAGCTACAGTATCCAATGCTTATTATACTCTGCAAAGCTGATTAACTAACATTAGTAAAAAAAAGTTATTAAACACGCGTAATGAAGTAGCTTCTAGACTCCCTATCATTAAAACAATAAAGCATTAGAATAAAAAATGATATTAAAAGAAAGAAAATCCCAAGAAGTAATAAAATGCCACGCTAAATTCTAAACAGTTGGAAATATAGATAAATCGCTGCTTGAAAGACTAATGAAGATTATAGAATATCATTAAGCTCATTTACATAATAAATTAAGAATTTACTCGAGTATGTGTAATATTATATTAGATATATATTGCCATAGTCTATATGTCTTAAATGTATTTGTAAATATATATTTTGTTAAACTTTGTATAATAAACCTGAAACAGTAAGAGAATTGATTCTCAATATTTTAGATAAGACCATATATTGTATATAGAAACATAATATATCGCAAATGAACTACAATCTGCTATTAACTGAGACATGAGTTGACTTGTTAATTTTAAGTTCTTCAAAACGAATCTGCTTTCTATTAATCGTTTGAGAAATCCCTTTCTGCCATCTATCAGTATGGCTGATGCTAATCTCCAGAAGATGGACTCGTTGCACCTTCTCGAGTTAACGTTATCTGCTGACATGAGGTAGATAGATTATATTATATCTATTGATAGGTCTGCTATGAGGGAAGTTGGCCCACTCTATTGTGCTAGGCAACTCTTCTCTGCAGAATCCATCTTACATATTTATAAGTCCACCATTCGCCCATGATTTAAATATTGCTGCCACATATGGTCTAGTGTTCCTGATATATATTTAGAGATTCTTTATAAAATCAAAAGTAGATTCTACAATGTTATTGCTTCTGACATAATATCTCGACTCTCTCACTGCCGTTATGTCGCTTCTCTGTGCCTTTTCTATAGACACTTTCATAGCAATTGCTCGGATGAATATTCTACTATGATACCTAGACTTTATATATTTAAGTACAGTACTAAATTGGCAACAAGGTATTATCATTTTACAGATGGTACTGTAAGTTCTATGCTCACAATTTTTTTTCTCGCATTTCTTGCTTGTGGAACTCTCTTCCGGTTTCTTGATTTCCAGCCAAATTTGATCTTCAAAATTTAAAATGCAATGTCAATCTTCATCTAATATTTTCTTACTTTGTCTTCTTTTATTGCTCTCGCTCATTAATATTTTTTCTTTTTCTTATATTCTTTCACACTCAGTAACCGTAGTGGCTTTATTGCTTTGCTTGGAGTGAAATGATTAACAACTATATATAAATATATCCCGAAAATTTATCACTTTTGCTTAATAGAAATGTTATAGTAAAATCTTTGACAATTATGATAAAAGCTGACAGACTCTACAGTTTGTGATATCTGCCTTTCGTTTTTCGTGAGCAAGCATCAAACACGGGACAGTTTTTTTAAAAAAATGGCAGCGGAAATTAGTTGTAATTATATGTAATTTGTCATGAAAGTGGTAAAATTGAGCCATTACACACTACTTGATTATATGTCCAACATCACGGTAGACGACGTACAGGAATTTATTTTACAAATAAAATATTCATTCATTTTTTAAAATCATGACGCTATACCAAAGATCCCTTTTCTCTGTAAAAGAAATTTTTGGAGCTTATCAGTTTGTGTGAGGATCTAAGAAAAGTTCCAATCACTTTTTACACACTCAATCACATTATCTTTTCGATCATTCTTAAATGGAAAGAAACTGATAACCTATCAAGACTTACAAGATCAGATCATCCAAGAAAGTTTCCAAGACAAGAAGTGACTAATATCGCAAAGGAACTTCCATTCAACCCGAAGAACAAGCAGGCAAATTCAAAGATGTAGACGGCTTAACAATTCACAAGGATTTCGTGGATTGGTTGCACAAAAACGTTAATAAAAATGAAAATGCATAAAAAATCGAATTAGCATTCGTTAAAATGTTTTTGGGTCAGTCAAATGAATAACAGAACACACTTATTTGGTCAGGCAAAATAAAAATGTAAGTTGTAAGAGACAAACATCTAAGCTTCATTTATAGAAAAAAAGATAGAGCACACGGTGTGAAAATACTATCCTTCTAGAGAAGTATAGTAAAGAGAACTTCATTGACTGGAGTCGTTTAAGAAGTCAACATGATTGAAGATAAAATGTCCATATTTTCGAGAAAACCATTTTACCTTCTGTTTTCCAGTTAAGACATGATAGGCGAATAATCATTGAACAAAACAACGATCGGGAGCTATCCAAGAATGGATTAAGATGAAAGAAAAAGGATAATGGAATAGGCTCCTAAATTCGATGACGTAAAACCAGTTGAACGTTTTCTCTATAAATTGAAAATTGCTCTTCATAAACGGAAGCCATCGAATCTAAACGATGTGGAAGAATTCTGCATAGATGACTGGTCGAAGATACCAACTGAAAGATTCCGAAGCCATATCGAAGTCGACAAAAATGCGAATATTAAAGAGCCCCAAGTAAGTATTGCTCAAGTAGTTCGAATATTCATCGACAATTTTGACCAAATCCTCAAGTAGGTGAACGTAGATCGAATGCTTATAGATAATTCGGCCTAGATCTTCATATTTTAGCAATATGTCTGTTACTTTCAAAATTGCTTCACTAATACGAATCAAACAAATCCTAAATCTCCTCGATGGCATTGCTTTTACTCGAATTACTCCAATTTGTGTTTTAGGATAAAAATAGCCAAATGTAAATATTCGGCGCCAGACACGCTGATTTGTGGAAACATTTTAAATTTTGTCCATTTTCCGAATGGCCTTGCAAGTATGGCCATAAAGAACCCACAAAGAACCTCTAAAAGAAATAATTTTTTGGTTAGTTATATGCAAGTATCTGCAAAGTCAATGTAAAAGCCCATTCGCACTCAACTAAGATTATCTCTTGGTACAGCTATACAAATACACACACATATGTTGGGTATAAGGAAATTTAAAAAAAAATACTAACTTAAGAAAAAAGTGAAAATAACAATGAAAGAAGAAGAAATAGACGGGAAAAAATGGGAATGATGATGAAAGATACCGAAAGAAGCGTATAAAATCAATAATGCAAAACAGAAGAAAAGAAGAAACGTAAAAAGAAAAAGAAAGAAATGCAAGTCAAATATGCATAAAGAAATGGAACAGGAAAAGAAAAATATAATTGAAGAAAAAGAAATGAAACAGTGTATATGAAGAAAACATAGAAAATATCTAGTGAAGGAAGAAAAAGTAGATAAAAGATGCAAAAGGAAAAAGAAGAAGAAGAAGAAGAAGAAGAAGAAGAAGAAGAAGAAGAAGAAGAAGAAGAAATCTGAGGTGAGACACATATTTAATGAAGGCCAAATATCTCAAGTAAAATACGCTAAAATAAATTAAAAGAAAAAGGTAGGTAAAATCCAAGTTGCTGTTCAGTTGCATTTTACTGTAAGGACAAATAATCAAAAAGTGAAAGTGAAAGTGGATGGTCGCTCGTATAGAAAGAAGAAAGTAAGTGTCTACTTTCCCTTTTTAGTCTGTAAACGATGTCGCTTTCGAGTGTCATTTCCTTGCTTGTTCGAACAAAAGGCTTGGCTAATCTCCACCGGCCTTTCAACACCACTTGTGGACTTATTATTATGATTCGACACACTAATATTGCTGTTTCAACGAAAGTTTTTTCTTTCATGCGTCTTGTTATAGCAAAACGAACACTTCTCTATAAACAAGACGTAAAACTTACATACTTGTGTACAACGAAGACACACGAACAGATATACATATGCAAGAAAGTGACAGTAGATATCAGTAAGAAACCTAAATGCAATGAATATATATACAAGTATATGAATATACATATAAGTAAAATGAATATACATATAAGTAAAATGAATACCCCTTGACAAAAAGGGCACCGTAATATGCAATGTCATCAATATAAGACACATGAAAAGTATTTTGCTATGGCATGCAAGCATTTATGAAGTTAGTTTACCTGTATATCTGTCGACTGGACTTTGCGCTTAATGTCTATTTTAAAACCTGAAGACAATTGATAAATAAGCGCTGTTGCCGAAAAATTCTCAGCAAAAGCCATTAACTATAATTTGTTCAAAGGACTAAACAAAAGATGTCTCTGGTAAGAGTGTTTTGGTCGAGCTGAAGACTTTTCAGTATTTCATCACATTTAAGTCTTCACCAAATTCTTAATACACTGTATCAGAATTTAGCATTCAAATCAATGTTTACACAATAAGATTCGAATGAACAAACCAATATTGATAAACTCTTCAAATTATATTAATATATATATGATAAATACTCTCCACTGATATTCAGTTTTTATGGGGAATAGCTATAATCACATAAAAAAGAGTAGATAGGCCCGGTTTACACTCGTCCTAGTCTTTTGAACAGGAGTAGAGGCTTATCCCTTGCTTCCTGTTTAGGACTGGGTTTTTGGTTCCTTCTAAAGTCGACTTTTACACTATACTTCTAAAGTCACCGATTGAACTCTGAAATGTTATTCCCTAATTAAGTCTTGACCTTTTCAAGTCTAGAGTTGTCATTTTTCCTGCATAACCCCAAAGAACTTTACTTCTTGCCGCTTCTTACACTTATACAACACACAGTAACACTTTATCTTGAGTGGCTCTTGGGCCTTGTATTTGACGAACATTAGTAAAAATGGGTGCATTTTTATATTGTAATTCGAGGGTAATTCATCAGATTGTAAATAAATATTAACATTTGATTTCCGATTCATAAAAGTTGCAATAGTTGTATGAAGTTTATTGTAAAAAAGATACAAGAAAAACAAAATATTGTAAAGTTATTTTTCGACGAGTATACGATATTCGAAATAGGAAAACAGTTGAAGAGAAAACAATCAAAAATACGAAACAATAATTTTCAGAATGTCAAAAAGATTTGAGAAAATTTTAAAAGGAAATACAGGGAAATTTGACTAGTAAGAAAATAAGTAATGAATCTGGGGTTACGATTGTAAGTTAGGCAAAGAAATCCATGTAATTTTGACATGTCAACATTTTCACTGATGAATCATGAATTGCATGGAGATGATGGCTGGGTTAGAGTTCGGATCCTTCAAATAAATAGTCAAACAAAAATATTTAGTGAACAACTGTTTGGAGCTGGAGTGATATATTGTGTCCGTATTAGCAGCTGCAAAAATATACGACCTTTCAAATTGAAGTCTTCTGTCACGATAAATGCAGGATATTATAGGAGTCTGGTGATTTTTTTATTTTGTCAAGTTTACAACCAAGAACATTTAAGCTAAAAAATATTTTGATACAAGTTTCTTCTTCTACACGTTCTGCAAAAACGACTATTGCCCACCTTGATAAGAAGATTTCGTAGATACCAAATTAATGGAATGATTCCAAGATTTGATTCTTCCTACATTAATCAGAGAAAACTTGTGGTCCATGAAAAGAGATGTTTATGAGAATGGGGAAAATATTCAAGCAAAAATTTATGAGAAGCAATAAAATCTGCAAAAGACTATTGAAGTTGAAAAACTATTTTTTTAAATCAATGAGCTGAAGATTGATGAAGGTTATAAAATATTAAAACATCCATAATAATGTATTCACGTATAAGGGATGTTGAATATATTTTTCTATGGTTTTACATTTATTTGTTTCTATAGATCTATATGTTTTAGATTTATTTAAATAAAAAATTGTGTTTTAATTTAACGCCCTTAAAACATTTTACCGGTATTTGTAATAAGAATTGTGATTATAATCTGAACATAAAAACAAAATATTGACTGTATAAACATAAATTTATCCCCTATATTTGCCAATCTTTGCTTGGTTAATATCAGTTTTATTGACAAAATATTGATTCGCATTATAATCTATTGAAAATGATTTAACGTCTATTCTTGCATTCTCTCTCTCTCTCTCTCTCTCTATATATATATATATATATATATATATATATATATATATATATGTGTGTGTGTGTGTGTGAGTGTATGTATGTGTGTGTGTATTGATGTAATAGGAAAGAACATTTAGATTAATGATCCAAAGTTCATTAGTATTTATGTTTTTTATTTAAAATAATAGAGAAAGAGAAGTAGAGCTTAAATTATTTTCTTAAAATACGATTCCATCGCGACACAGAAATGACTGTTTTGAAACTTGACTCAAGTCCGAAAGTTTAATTTCAATATTAACCTTAAAATTTAGAGTACAGTTTCATTCCCAGTTTCGATGTTTTAGAATAATTCACTGAAGAAATGCTTTACTCAAATGGAGGTGTAACTTGGGTTTTTCTTTCGTTATCAAGGGGTCACTAATGTGATGAAAGTATGAATGTTTATTATATGTCAAATTTATATATATATATATATATATATATATATATATATATATATATATATATATATATATATATACACACAAAAGTTTAAAAGTTTGAGTATGGCATAAACTTGACAGAAAAGTGAAAAATGAAAAAAGAGCTCTTAGAGTCATTGGAAAAAGAAAGGAATCAATTTTCAAGCTTATACGTTCAGAAAATTTTGTAACGAATGCCAAAAACCAACAAGATATTGCAGTAATCAAGGAGGTGGATATTTTGACGGGAGCAAGTTTAAATCATAAAATGCTTTTTTTCTTTTGGTCATAATAATTTTTTAAAATAAAATATCATGTATCACATGTTTTTTAACAGTGTATAATAATTTTCACTTATTTAAAGTGCAAAACAACTACTTCTTGGGCCAATTTAAAAGTTATCAGGGATTGCGTCCTTTGGATATATATATATATATATATATATATATATATATATATATATATATATATATATATGTTGAGTTCTCTTTGGATTAATGTCCTCCTTGGCATCCCTACAAATTATCAATTGATATATATATATATATATATATATATATATATATATATATATATAGATAGATAGATAGATAGATAGATAGATAGATAGATAGATAGATAATATTAGTGGAAAATATACATACATATGCAAAATATATATAAAAATTCCCATACATGTATATTTTCAGAAAAAAAAAAAGTTTTTCAAGAGGAAGGATCCAGGTAGAACTCAATGTCTAGGACAGAGTAAGGATATAATAAAAAGGCTTAAACACTAATATTCCATGGTCATAATTTATTCCATTGGAATCGGAAATACGATCCAAATCATCAGACCTACAAATTCAAAATTTGAATTTGTAGGTCTGATGATTTGGATCGTATTTACGATTCCAATGGAATAAATTATGACCATGGAATATTAGTGTTTAAGTTTTTATTACATATATATATATATATATATATATATATATATATATATATATATATATATGTGTGTGTGTGTGTGTGTGTGTGTGTGTGTGTGTGTATGTATGTATATGTGTGTGTGGGGGGATGACGATATATATTCTTATCTATCAAGAACAGTATTAGGGAAAATAAAGTGTAAAATAATTTCTCGCGATTCATTTTATTCTTTAGGACTTCATCGAACTAAATTTGTTTTGTTGGCGCGGCTATATATGCCCACAAACAAGGGATGCTGCGAATTTTAAACATGATATTTTTTTAATCTAACCGTTTTCATTTAGATTCTTTTTTTCATCACTTTGGTTGGTACATATGCCACACAATGATAATAGAAGTTCTGCCAGGAATGGTGAAATATTACAAGAGCCTGGGCGCAAATTGACTGTAGATGTCCTTGCGATCAAGCCACTCTAATGTTCGTCGTGGTAAAGTTTTTCTCCTTTGATCAGAGTATCATTTTTTATGTCAAAATTGTACTCAGTCTCGTTACGGTGGGCAACCAACACATTTGATGTATTTTTTTGTAAATTGTCTCTTTTGTGTTCATATAATCTTTTCATCCGTTGTTCGTGTGCACATGTCCCCGCACCAACATAACAAATTTAGTCCAATGAATTCTAAAAGTCGAACATTTGTCTTACATTTTCACCATATGCCTAAATTTTTTTTTATACCTGGTGTTATGTTTTCTGTTTCCTTTTGAATTTGTAGGTCTGATGAATTGGATCCTGATTACGATTCCAATGTAATAAATATTCCAATGGAATATTAGCGTTTGAGCCTTTTATATTATATATATATATATATATATATATATATATATATATATAGATAGATGATGATAGATAGATAGATAGATAGATAGATAGATAGATAGATTTTGCAAATATCTTTCCAGACTCTCAGTTGTACAAGTTGAGTTTTTCGTGATTTATTTTACGCTGATATTACTCTGACATAAAGTATATGCTCACAATGGTTACTTTAGATGTTCACTGTGTAATCTAATAAAATGGTATATATCAGTTTTTTTAAAATATTAAGCACTTTTGTTATTTTGAACGTTTTAAAAACATTATTTTATATATTTTATCTTAACTGTTATATATATATATGTGTGTGTGTGTATGTGTGTGTGTATTTGGGTGGGTGGGTGAATGTGAGTTTGTGTATATTTGTGAGGGATTGTTTGTGCGTATGCTTTTCTGTTTGTATGTAAACTTATAGCATTCCTTCTTCTGCCACGTGTAAGCTCTATATTTTCATCTGTATTTTTCAGTTTTCTTACTCATAATGGTCTCATATTGTTTGGAGTGAGATTAAGCCTTTTTTATTATTGAAATGAAGACTATAAATTAAAATAGCGTCGACTTATTTAGCACAACAGGTACGCTTAGTATAAAATGATGTTTTAAAATAAGGAAGTTGAAAATTTCCATAAATTGCTTATAACTGAATATTTAATGTTTAATTTTGCTATTGATACAAACACACAGTAGGTAAAGTGATATATAATTATTTCTTCCCGAAGATAGGAAGTAGAATACATCAAATAAAACCACAGTTTAATACAGAAAGCTTTTAAGCCAATATACGAGGAACGCTCCGAAAGTAATATATCTTGTTTATTTCCATAGCAACTAAAACGGATACAGGGAACCAACTAAAACGGACACAGGGAACCAACTAAAACCATTGGATACAGGAATATTTTATCTATAAAACGTTCTTTTTCCATAGCCATCGCCATTTTCGATACGATCCTCATTTTATAGGTTGAAAGCTGGGCAGACCTGCACAAGTAGTGTCTTGCCGCCTAGATCTGATCTCAACCATTGTTTGGTCTTCGTAAATATTCAGCAATCACCAATATATCAATAGATGCCATTTTTTCCGTCTAGGGGTGTTTAATAACACAACTCTGTATTTCACTTCAGACGTCATTTTGCCAAACAACCCCCAACTCCTAAAACAAGGAGTTACTAACAGGAATGTTTATTCTATACAGTCTTTGGTGTGGTAGGCAACATCATAAAATAAAAGGCATTACATTCGGAGCGACATACGTTGGATAAGAAAAAAGAAAACACGGAATATCTTCACTAGAGTTCTGTTTAGATTGTAAGATGTTGTAAATGCTGGATTAATCATAACAGTTATATGTTCTGTGGGTATTGGCTTGTGAAAATTCTGGGTGCGCTTCAATGATATCTTAAAATAACCTGATTTTTCTAGTTGGCAACAGCTCAAATGTTCTTAGTGAAGGTTACAATGAATAATTACAACTATTCGAATCGGACTTAAAATACCTAAAGAACATACTTACGATTCAAACTGATAAAATTCATGGTTTAAATGTGTATTTTTATATTAGAGCTTTATCCAGTTCCACTCACCTTCATTCTCATCTCCTCTCCCTCTTCTCTTCTGTGTATTACAGTCTTTCTTTTTTTCTCTCTAAGCAAGTATGAGCGAGTCGAAGGAAAACGGCCAGAAATTAAAGTGAAAAATGGGAATGAAAAATGAAGAAAAAACTGGAAGCCAATGTTTGCAGAGATCAAGATAAAATCAATGAGATGGAGAATATATACAATAGAAGAAGAAGGGAACGAACGAGAGGTAGAAGAAAAGGAAAGAAGTGAAGGAGGAGAGGAGACGGAGATACCGAGGAAAAAAGTGAAGGAGAAAATGTTAAGAAAGGTGTATCGCGAAAAATGATAAAAGAAAGACATTGTAACGGGAAGAAAGGAAGTATGGTTGGGAAGAAACAAGAAATAAAACATTGAATCAAGTACAAACGAAAATAAGGAAGAAATTTTAGCATAAAGAAAGAACTGAGAAAAGAAGTAAAAGAATGAAAAAAGAAAGGAAGAAAGACTTACAAAAAATAATAATAGATGAAAATTAAGGAGAAATAGATAGTAAAAAAGAAAGTAGTAGTAGTAGTAGTAGTAGTAGTGAAAACATTAAAAAAAAAACAGAAAACGAATAGAACCAAATAAAATAGAAATAAATGAATAGCAAGAGATGCCTAAAATGAAGTTCCGTCTAATACGGAGAATAGGAGAGACGAAAAAGAAGCAAAAATTAAGTGAAAATAAATTGCAAAATAATATGATGATCAACACTGGCAACCAAAATAAGAACAGTAGCAGTGATTAGTCCCCAAATGTAGGTCACGAGCCTCATCATGGCCGACACTGCACTACCGTTATCAGAGGCGCGTATTTTAAGCATCAGCAAATTAGTCGGACGTAAGTCAAAACATTTCCTCTTGTTTTCACTGCAGGATTGGCACCTTATTTACAAGTCGAGGCGATGCCAAAAAAGCCATTCAGACAACTGAGCAGATCTTCGATTCCATTCCACGTCTTGCGAGATTTTCTTCTTCTTCTTCTTCTTCTTCTTCTTCTTCTTCTTCTTCTTCTTCTTCTTCTTCTTCTTCTCGGTGGTATAATTAGCAACTGAGATATTCAATGCATCTGGTGAGGGAAAATGAACTGTATTTAACACGGGGTTAAATCTGATTCATAGCCACTAACTTTTCATGATCTTCAATGTCTTTCTATAGTAAAACCGTTAGCAATAGATTTACGTTAGGTATATAATATATGATTAAAATAATAGGGTTGATTGTGCTCCCTGGTCTTTGGGGGCAACCAAGAAAGGAAAATCTGAATTCCAAACCACGGAGAGAGCAAGTGAAAACCACTTTCGTAGTCCCATGACAGTTCACAGATTTTGAAGAATTATTCTTTGAGGAGCCATGAACGCTGACGTCCTGAAAAGAAATGGTATTAAAAGTTCATATAATATTATATTCTGTCTGTAACATTTGCATTATTTCCTGGCTTCTGAAAATTCTCTTTTTTAATTTTCCCTATTCAATGGACAAGTCAGATGAATGACCGAACTTGCTGAAACAAATTTTACTCAAAAAATCAACCATTCCTTCTCTGTTATAAGAAGAATATTTAGAGAGTAAATGAGTAAAGCAAAGCTGGAAACTCACAGATTTTTTAATAAGTTCTACTTGTGATATCTTCTTTGATATGCCAAGTTCTTTTCGGAAGCGTTCATGGCACTCCACAAATTCCTTTATTTTTTGCTTTAAATAACATTTTACTATCCCTCTTTTCTCCTGTTCTACTATCTATTCATAAAAAAAAACTCGCTTAGTCGGCTGCGCACGATTTGCCTGGCTTCTCTTGCCTTTAATGACGTATTTACATTAAGACTCCATCAATGCTCACATGTTCGGAATCAAGTATTCCTCGATAAAATCTGTCTCTTCAAATCACTTCTTCACTTGTACGGATAGAGGCGCTTGCTCAGACTTGCTGAATGTTAAAGTCAGGAACAGGGTCTTCATCATTCTGCAGCTTGCTTCAATGGATAACTTTTAAATTAAGAAAAACTATTTGCCTGTTAATCTTGTATATAACACACGTTCCTCTCTCTCTCTGTCTGCGACAATATGCACAGACGGAACTAAAAAGCTAAACTCCACAAAGATTTACAATTTTAGATATCATGTCACTCCATTAATAATACCAAAAATTTGGGTTAAAATATTTAAAAAAAGCATGTTTAATTAAAATTTATATATTAATATAGTATCCATCATTACTTCGAACGATTTATAGGCATTATTGTAATGGTCAATTTTAGAATGGACAGTTCAAGAATTACGAATTGGAAACACCAGAATTAAGTACAGAAATATAACTAATTATGGAGTGTTATAGCAGACGACCAAAAATATGATAGAAAAATTCAAAGGCGTTAAAACTGATGAAAGAGGCCTTCTAAAAACTAAACAAAGTATTAAAAAGCAAGAAAATTTTGTAAGAAGCAAAAAAAAAAGAGAACTGAACTGCTATGTAATATCTATCCCCCAGTTATATAGTAATGGATGCTAAATAAGGGGGGATTTGAGGCAACAGAGATTTGGATATACAGAAGGATGCTGCATTAACAGAAAATATGTGAAACGACGAAGTTTGTAGGTAAATCGGAACAAAAAGGAAACTTAAGTTTAGAATCACAAAGAGATAATTGAAATTTCTTGGACAAATAGTGAGGAAAGGTGGCTTGAAGAATTTGACACTCATAGGACATACTGAGAAAAAGAACGGTAGAGCGAAATAGTGAGTAACATACTTAACCTGTTTGTATAAATGAATGCCAGACAGAGACAACGAGGTATAGGAAGGACACAAATATTACTTAGAACTACCAAGGATATGAAGTTGTGGAGAGCCACGTCCAAAAGTGACACGACATATAAAACAAGAAGAAGTCTTTTGGTTTGAAGGAAAAGAATGTAGAGTAGTTTCCATTTATTCATGCATTTTAAGATTTAATCAGAATAGATGAATATTTTGATTTTTTAAACATAAATATATCAATTAAGAAGAATTCAAATATCCAGTCTTGCTTTAGTGTCGCATTCTCTCAAATCATGAAGACATTTTCTCAGTTTAGACTCATCGCTATTTTCTTCCAGACGATAGTGATTCATTTAATGTCTAAAATCCAGATTTTAAGATAATTCTTTCGAGTTCAGACCTAAGCAAGCCACAGATAAAAACGCGACGACTTGTTCATAAAATGTCTCCCAAAATTAAGTCATTTTTTAAAGCTATAGCAATTTCTTTCATTTAAAAAATCGATCCTATAAACACCAAGAATATTTTAAGCTACCTCTCATCATTATTAATAATTAATAAATCATTGCCTGTCTTATCCACTTCGTATAATCATTCATCTTTAGTGGGTCAATTAATAACTAAACATAATAAGACTGCTTAACCTATTCTTGTAAATCCCCACGAAAATTATACAATGTTATCATTTAAACATTTTAGAATATGGAAAATATCATTCGTTTTATCGCGTTTAGATTTCGGAAATTACTTATAGGAGGAGTTGATATTTTTAAATATCTGCCGCTTCAGTTCTGTCGTTTGAATTAACAATAACGCTCTGGGGCCATCGTGTATTTATCTCACTAAAAATGATCAATGGCCGTCAACTTACGAGATTGTTTGACAAGGACCAGTAAGGCATTGAACATTCTATTAACTTTATCAGATGACATCCTGATCAGAGACCAGATAGTGATGTCCAATATATCGTTCAATGATGAAATTATTAAATGTTATTATATGCAATACATGGCTGTTAAGCTTTTGGGCATTGATATGAACACCAGGGTTTCTCTTTATTGATAAGTTCAATAAAAGAAAATCCTTACAATCGAATTGTTTTTAAAAAAATATCTTTAATGTTTTATTCCTGGGAGTGGAGGCAAAATTTTATCGAAGATACGAAGAGACTGAGCGATAAGAAGTAATTTATCTCTCCCTTTCTGTTACAATGAGGCTAGATGTTCACAGTAGCCAAAACAATATCTGACACACCTCGTAACGGTGTAGAAGAATTTACCTATCTAGGCAGTAAAATCTCTAGCTGCGAAAGTGATGTAAACACACGCATTGAGAAAGCCTAGAGTGCAGTCAATAAATTATCCCTCCTGTGAAGATCTGGACTTCCAGACAACATGAAAAATGGTCCCATTCAATCAACTGTTACCTTTGTTCTATGGCATGACTGCTCAGCATTGACCCTTACCTCAAAACAGGAAATAAAGTTGGATGCTAAAGGTGGATTTGAATGTCATTTGGAGAGATCGTCTAACCGATGGTGCGAGGGAGAGCAAGCTTTTCCCTTTATTAGACATCATCGTAGAGTTTTCTTCCAGACGATAGTGATTCATTTAATGTCTAAAATCCAGAGACATTACTGGAGAATTAAAGACAGAAGAACTTCACTAACGATTTCGTCTTTAGCTTACACTGGCAGATTACAATAAAAAGATATAACAAGTATATTTGGGGCGACATAAACTGTAATTCCTCTGACTTGCCGAATATGATGAATAATAGAATTGGGTGTCGATAGAGAGTCAAGGGAGTCCGTGTATACAATGCGACCGGGTGATGTTCATAGCAAGAGAAAATATTGCTAAAATATCTCACCAATATCTTTGAATATAACACAAGAAAACATAACAATTCGTGAATACAAAGCAATTTTTCAAGATTATTTTTGTTCTAATATTCCGGCATTTCAGTTTCGTTCCGCTATTATCATTCCTATAAGACAATATACTGTATGGTTTATTTTAGACTTGTCTTCATGTCAATCTATTACTTGCAGACCAGATTATATATATATCTACTGCAGTAAAAACACTAAATTGTTTAAGACAATGAAAAAGTTATTCAAGAAATGTAATACTAATAAATACAATAAACTAACTGAGCTATCAGCTATTACGACATTGATAAGTGTGTACTACAGATGTTGTCTTTTTCCCAAAGACGCAGTAGTATGCAGTTATCAATGAATTAAGTACAGTTTCAAACTTGACATTTGTAAAGAACAACAAAGTACCTATAACTCTTTAAGAAGTCAGGGATCGATCTGACTCTATTTATATTATGAATCTCCTTCTAAAAGGATAAAGATCAATCTTTTTAAATGCTGACAACTTATGGGTAGAATAATGTCTAATGAATGTCAATCAACAAAAATATTTTTAAAACATTTTCTCTATTTTTACGAGCAAACCAGTTAGTTTAAGTCTTTTTTTTAATTCAGTGGTACCGTATATTTAATACTGTATTTAGATAAGAGTAAACTAAAAGGGTTTAATAATAAAACGCTCTTTTTTGCAGCAGAATGTTTGGCCTAAAATCTTGTCGACGTTTCATTGATAATTGTGCCCATTGTCTTTTCGTATTTTTCCTGGCGTTTTTGGTGTACATTACAAAAGCTTTTCACAAACATGAGCCTTAGATTTTGCAGAGTTTGATAGCCAAAAAATTACTAAGGAAACACATTGATGAAGAAACTCATGGGGCAATAGGGGGCGTGCACGGTTTCGAAAAAAGTGTTATTCAAAAGAAGGACGAGTAGTTGGTCAGCAAATATGCCTGACCTGAATCTAGCAGAGAATCTGTTGGGAACGAACGCGCTGAAAATGTATCATTGAGTTGGATCAAACATCAGCAGGACTTTACACAATATTTGAGGCAGATGATAGGAGAGAATTTGAGTTTTACAAAGGGGAATGGCAAATATTAACAAACATTTATCCCGCTTCTAACAGTAGATTAGATTTCGTAAACGTTTCAGATGGGAAAGAAATTAAAATGTACTCTATTTGATGGCATATAAAATGCATTCTTTCTGCTCAAAATGGCTAAAACATTCGCCTTGTATTTTATGTTCAAAGTTGAAGCTTCCAGTAATTTATCTTTCACCAGCGATCACTACTCTAGACTATAATTTTACTTCAGTCACTACTACTGAGCAGGACTCCATAATAGTATTATTTAGTCAAACGATATTATTTTTTTCTTTGGTTTCTGTTGTATACACTTTTCTATCCGGGTTCCAACCAGAGGTCTAAGGCCAGAAAAGGCTTTATGACATTTTCTATGATCATTTTTTGGAAAAGAAAAAGCTCTCCGTGAGCTGGACTTTTGAGTACATTTTTTGTATTCTTTAAGCCATGGCGAACAAGGAATCCCTTCAATGAGTCTATCCCAAACTTTTCAAATCAATTCGAAGATTCCAACTACAACTGGAATTATACCACATTTTTTAGATTCCCATTTATTTTAAATTGTGATCCTACCTTCATTAAATATTACTTGCTTAAATAAACTAAGAACCTTAAACAGGCGTTTAATATGCCTTTACATATTTGTATGCCATAACATACGGTAAGATGATTTGACTCAGTCTGCAACATTGTCAGTTCTATTTGTACTTTTAAGTTGGGTGAAAACTTCTCGTAAGAAATTCAAAATCTTGGTACGACGTTGATTTCGAGACGATTTTCTTATGACATTCTAGCTGTGCTGAATTACGTGAAGGTTTAGGGTAAAGATATTGAGAGTATGTTGATCCGATTTTCCATAGAAAAAACAGGAAATACACTTTAGTCCGATTCCAATTCAACTCTGCTTTCAATCCCTGTAATTCACTATCTGCTCACACAAGCCGACACAGCCAAGTGAAGTGTCAAATGAATACACACTTGCCGGAACAAACCTCGAATAAATCTGCTGTGATATAGTTGGATCATACGATGATTCAGGGCCTCAATGATTTCTTCTTCACTAGGCAAAACTCTTAAGTAATATCCGGATCAAAGTGATTAGTGGTCAGCTACGTGACCCAGACGCTGTCTCTGACTGTTTGAAAACGGAGAGATTGTCACTTCATGCATAGAAGCCAGCTCTAGCGATAACCTCTTTCATTACTCATGCCACCATTGCTTTAGAATGCACTATAACCAACGCTTCCATGGTGCGTTTCTTTACTTTCATTTTTCATTTCATTCTTCTGTCACAATTTTCTTCGTGTTTTCATCGTTCACATCAAATTGGACGACTTCTATTTCTCTGTCTTTTTTGCTCTATTTTCTTCTTTTCCATTTTACTTCTTTTTCTCTTTACCTCTTTTTCCCTTTACCTCTTTTTCCCTTTACCTCTTTTTCCCTTTACCTCTTTTCCTCTTTACTTCTTTTTCCCTTTACCTCTTTTTCCCTTTAACTCTTTTCCCTTTACCTCTTTTTCCCTTTACCTCTTTTTCCCTTTACTTCTTTTTCCCTTTAATTCTTTTTCCCTTTACCTCTTTTTCCCTTTACCTCTTTTTCCCTTTACCTCTTTTTCCCTTTTCCTCTTTTTCTCTTTACCTCTTTTTCCCTTTACCTCTTTTTCCCTTTACTTCTTTTTACTTCTTCTTTTCTCTTTACCTCTTTTCTTTTTTACTTCTTTTCCCTTTTCTTCTTTTCCTTTACTTCTTTTTTCCTTTACCTCTTTTTTTTTCCCTTTACCTCTTTTTTCCTTTCTTCTTCTCCTTTACCTCTTTCCTTTTTTCTTTTTTCCGTTCTTTTTTTTTTTCTTTCTTTTTCCTTTTTCTTTTCCTTTACCTCTTTTCCCTTTACTTCTTTTTCCTTTACCTCTTTTTTTTTCACTTTTTCTTTTTACCCTTTTTTTACCTCTTTTTTCTTTACCTCTTTTCCTTTCCTCTTTTTTTCTTTACCTCTTTTCCCCTTCTTTTTTTTCCCCTTTCCTTTTTTTCCTTTACTTCTTTTCCTTTACTTCTTTTCCCTTTACCTCTTTTTCCTTTTACTTTTTTCCCTTTACTTCTTTTTTTCCTTTTTTTACCTCTTTTTCCTTTTCTTTTTCCCTTTCTTTTTCCTTTACTTTTTTCTCTTTACCTCTTTTTTCCCTTTACTTCTTTTTCCTTAACCTCTTTTTTTTTCTTCTTTTCCTTCTTTTTTCCTTTACTTGTTTCCTTTTCTCTTTTCCCTTCTTTTTCCCTTTACTTCTTTTTCCTTTACTTCTTTTTCCTTCCTCTTTTTCCTTTACCTCTTTTCCCTTCCCTCTTTTCCCTTTACCTCTTTTTTCCTTTCCTTCTTTTTTCCTTTACCTTTTTCCCCCTTCCTTTTTTTCCTCTTTTCCTCTTTTTTTCCTTTAGCCCTCTTTTTCCTTTCCTTCTTTTCCCTTTACCTCTTTTTCCTTTTCCTTTTTCCTTTACCTCTTTTCCTTTACCTCTTTTTTCCTTTTCCTCTTTTTTCCCTTCTTTTTTCCTTTACCTCTTTTTCTCCTTTAATTCTTTTTCCTTTCCTCTTTTCCTTTACTTCTTTTCTCTTTACCCTTTTTTCCTTTCCTTTTCCTCTTTTGATTCTTTTTCTTCCTCTTTTTCCTTTACCTCTTTTCCCTTTACTTCTTTTTCAATTTTTCCTCTTTTCTCTTTTCTTTTTCTTTCCTTCTTTTTTTCCTTTACTTCTTTTTTTTCCTCTTTTTTCCTTTACCTCTTTTTTCCTTTATCTTTTTTTTTTTCCCTTCTTTTTTCCTTTCCTCTTTTCCTTTTTCTTTTTTTTCTTTACCTCTTTTTTCTTTACTTCTTTTCCTCTTTTTTCCTTTCTCTTTTCCTCTTTTTTTTTCCTTCTTTTTTTTTTTCTTTTCCTCTACTTCTTTTTTCTTTTTCCCTTTACCTCTTTTTCCTTTTCTTTTTTCTTTTTTCCTTTAGTTCTTTTCCCTTTACCTCTTTTTTTTACCTCTTTTTCCTTTACTTCTTTTTCTCTTTACCTAATTTTTTCCTTTACCATTTTTTCCCTTTACCTCTTTTCTCTTTACCTCTTTTTTTTTTTTACTTCTTTTTCCTTTACTTCTTTTTCCCTTTACCTCTTTTTCCTTTAATTTCTTTTCCTTTCCCTAATTTTTCCCTTTACTTTTCTTTTCCTTTTTTTACTTCTTTTTCCCCTTTCTTCTTCTTTTTCTTTTCCCTTTTCTTTTTTTTCTCTTTTTCTTTTTTCCTTTACCTCTTTTTCCTTTACGTTTTTTTTCCCTTTACTTCTTTTTCCTTTTCCTCTTTTTCCTTTCTTCTTTTCCCTTTACTTCTTTTTCCTTTACCTCTTTTTCCTTTACCTCTTTCCCCTTCTTCTTTTTCCTTTTCCCTCTTTTTCTTTACTTCTTTTTCCTTTACTTCTTTTTCCTTTACCTCTTTTCCTTTACCTTTTTTCCCTTTTTCCTTTTCCCTTTCCCTCTTTTTCTCTTTTACTTCTTTTCTTTTCTTCTTTTAATTTTACCTTTTTTCCTTTACCTTTTTCCCCTTTACTTCTTTTCTCTTTTCTTCTTTTTTTCTTCTTTTTCCTTC